TATGCATCATTTTCCTGAAATTCTTCTCCAGAAGAAAAGGATTATAGACTGCTTTATATTGACGACTATTCCCAATGTTTTGAAAGTGCTAAGTAACAGATAAACAACGAGTGATCGTAATTCAAATGTAAACAATAATTCGAAGAATGACAAAGGGATTTGCTCCCTTCATAATACACAGCTTGGGAGTATATAGACCTAGGAATAAAATATAAACTGTTTGAAACGTCTCACAGAGTACTGAATCAATTAGATATTGTTTATTGTATAAATATATATATATAATTTTTTTTATTACATACCACCAAATTCTATGTATTAATAAAGCTGAAAAGTTATTAAACAAATGATAGAGAACAAGAAATGTATTTTTCAAATATTTTCTTATTACTGTTTTCTCAGGCCTTGGTACAGACTAAGATGTATTTGATGGAAAGTAAAATGATTTCTAGCAAAAAACAAGTCGAGGTCAAAAATTAGGACTCTCTAATTTGTACTTTAAGTTCAATATGTATGAACATGTTATTTAAATCTTTTGACACGTCCAAATAGTTTCTCAGTTGCTATGTTAATTTGTTTTTCTTGGATACCAGTTTGCCTTTTGTTCATTTGATAACTTCTAGTTGCTATATGCTTGTTTTGAAATAAAATTGCAAAAGTGAACACAGCCTGGCTCATGTCATAATACTACAGTATAGTGTTCACTTTAGACAGATTTTACTGGAAATTCAGATTATCTAAAAAGAAGCAAGTGATACAAGCCAGTTTATAAATTGCAACATACAGTAATAATGTACAACCTCTATTTGAATACCTCAAAATGTTTAGGGGAAGATTCTACTGGCTCTCATGTTATGTATGAAGCTATTCATTTGAATAATGTTCCATCCGCAATCACAACATAATTTTGAAATATCCCAAATGACTTTCTTAATAATGATATGCATTTTTAGAAAAAGTGTTTTAGTATATAGTCTACAGTTTAAAGTGCATAGGCATTGATAAAGTTAAAGTGCAAAGCAGTGGTATCAGTTGTTGTTCTTTACCTTTAGTTCTGTTGCATTTTAACCAAAACATAAAATATTGTGGGACTCATAGATGAAATACTTGTAAAATTGGAAAAACTACAGTGGCAACAGGCATATAACTAAAATATATGTCATGAAATATATAGTTGTAAATCTGAGTCTTTATTCAAGTTTTTGTAGATAAAATGAGTGGATCATGCTTGATTGGATTTAAATTATATACATGGTATGGTTTGACATTTGAGTGAAGCAGACAGTAAAGTGTAAACAGAAGAAGAAAAATGAGTCTATTGCCTGCGCTATGATTACATATTTACCATCTTCATATTGGTATGAATACCCTTTGCAATAATTCAACTTTGTCTACACTCTTAAATTTGGAGGTAATTTCTTGATTTAGCCTATATCCAATCAGGAAAACATACTACCTTTTGCAACATTTGTCTCACATTCAAACTCTTATAAAATGTTGCATTTGAGATCAGTGTCGTTATCTGCGAAATCACATGTAGAAGTCAGAGGCTAGTATAGCTGATCAGGGTAGTCACACCTAAGCTTCAGAGTAATATCTGTAAAGTATACTCAGGTGTGCTCTACTCAGGTGTGCTCTACTCAGGTGAAGGATTCAAGAGAAATGGTTAAATTGAGAAAGGATCAGGTGTTTATATCATCTTACTTACAGCCAGGGTCGACCATAGATTTTGTTAATCAGTTTTTTGAAAAAGAAAAATGTATCCTGAATTTCATAACCTAGATAAAAATGCAAGCTAGTATGCACCTGAGATGGTTCAATCCAAGTACACTGTAGTCTGCTCTTGCCTGATCGTGGGATTTAGCCTTGGGCAACCGAAGGAAAGGTATATGCTCTTCCTGGTGAGCTCAGGTGGATAAAGACAATTAGTCTCCAGGGACATAACCTTTAATACCTACATGCAGAATATTTCACTCATGATTTTATTTTCCTATTAAATCTAACACAAAATCATTCTTTCAAATCGACTGTAACATTTCAGCATAAAAGTCATATTCGACTTCCAATGTCAGAGCAACTGAAACAGAATTTTTATATAACTACACCTTTAGTTAGAGAATATTTTTTCTGAAAAAGATCAAAAATTTTTCCCTATACAATGATTGAAGAAATTCTTTATGAAGGCTGATTTCAGTGATTGTTATCAGCAATCTGATCTATAGGCATGTATAAATATATATATTCAATTCAATTTATACATGTATGTATATATCTGTTGTTGTTATTAAATTACTACCACCTGGTGCTCATTTTAATTATTCTCTTGTATTCACATTCTGGGGTTCAGATTGACTTATGATTGAAGATTATAACATCTTATTCCTTCATTTGATGCACTGGGAATCATACTCATATTCATGTACATGTATTTCCAAATACGCTCATTTATTCATTATTCCAGCTTTTCATTTGCTACAGACTGAGGCTGAAAGCTGAATTCTAATTTCTTTAAATTGAATCACTCTAAATCTTTCATGTTGTCTTAAGTAGAGCATACAAGAGTATGTTTGATATTACAGGTGTATATATTATGGTAACATAAATGTTTTAATGATACTAAAAATAATTTGAAATTCTTCAGCTAATGATATGAATAACATAGACTGTCACTCTCGTATCTGACAGTCTGATCTCCAAGCTTGTCAACATTACATCTTTAATCATTGTTAATGACATGAGGAAAATATGTAATTTTCAAAGTTTTGCCTGGCAAATATGCAATTGGACAATGTTAGAAGAATATTAGAAATGATATGTCAACTATAGTAAGTATTTTAGAGCACTTTATGACTGGATTAAGTTGAAAATATTAATAAATCAAGGAAAATTCGATCAATTAAGGTCATTATGATTATTAAGTCAACCTTGAAAAAACATTGTTATTATAACATTGAAATAAATCCTATCGTGTTAGGTGGTCTATCAAGATTGAATGTGTCAATGATATAACAACAGAGATAGTTTTCATAGTGAATGATATCTGGATATAATGATGAAATTAATTAGAGAAACACCAACTATGTAATAACCCAGATGCGAGTAGAAATAATCTTGATTTACGTCATTAAAAATTCAGAATTCAGTCAAAGTAATATCATATTTGAAATCTACATGTAAAATTACTTCTAGAAATGTGGTTTTAAAAAGTGTTTATCAACTTTGAAAAATTACTTTCATTTGAAAATGTGACTTCTAGCTCGGGGAGATTCCCCATAGACCCCATGCTATAAAATCACAAAAAATGAAATATCTTTTCTTTTAGTGGACAGATAATATTTTGCTTTACTGGACATATTTTCATTAGTATAAGTATTAGACACATAAGGGTTATATGAAAATTGAGCCACTTAAATTGATAATATTCAAGTTTAAGGGAACTTTCTTATATACCTGCCATGTTAATTGACCCGAATCAGCCACCTGGTGGTGAAACTGGTAACTACCTACTCGCATTTGGGTAATTGAGACTGCAGGGTGGCAAATATATACTTTAATGCTGTGTATAGAAATATAAAAACAATATAAAAAGGTTGAACATTTTAATTAAATATGAAGAGAAAATATTCAAATTCCCCTCATAATTTCGAAATATTTTTGATAGGATTGCCATTACCACATGGGGTTGAATCAAACAGATGTCATATGACTTCAATCGTGCTTCACAGTTTCTCCAAATTAATCCCTAAAAAGCATTTCTCAAATATCGACCCTCTGAGCATGTGTGTAATCCATTGCTCAAAGCATTGCTATGTCATGTATACATAGAGGTTTTCACCTGGCAATATACATGTCATCCCATTCTTAAACCATCACAATCCTCATGTAAAATTGATTAATATCTTTTAGTGATCTATAAAATGATTTTCTTAACCTTCAATACAATCAAAAAAATACATTTCTTAATTATATCAGTTATTCTGGATTACATGTTTTTTATTTTTCAACATATTTGGTGGAATAAAAAGTTGACATCTGATTATTTTGTTCAGCAGTTGTGCTGTGAGATAAGTGCAAATATGTGTAGAGGATGGGACTAATGAATTGATTGATGGTATGCCAAAATGTTATATGCTCTTAAAATTATTGCATTGTTTTTGTGTATTTTTTTATTTATTTTTTATTGTTTCCATCTATTATGAATGTGTTCATGTTTCCCCTGATACCATTTACTCACGTTTAATAAGATATTGGTCAGAAATGTGCGTTTTCATTTTCTCGGGTCACCAGGGAAATATCATATCGTCCCTTTGAATAAAAACCATATCATATCCCTCCTTTCTATCAAAGGGAATAAATTAAATCAATGGAGGGTGCAGTGATCAAATGGAAATATGATATTACCCAAAAGGGCGTAACTCAATATCATGTTGTCCTTGGAAAATCTTGTATGAGTTATGAAAAACAGTAAATGTGATCCAGTATGATTAGAAGAGAGAAACTATATATTATAGTAGACTCAAAATCTCTGATATTTCTAGTAGCCATATATGTTAAATTCCGGAGAGATGAGTAGAAAATAATTGAGATAGTTTTAAGTGGTTGGATTTTTTGATTGAAATCAAGCCAACTTAATCAATGGGGATCAACAACAGAAGAGAAAGTTTGCAGAGTAAATCCAAATCGATTTGTAAAAATCTTGATGTGTTGATGCTTTGACACTAAAAGACATTTGTATTCCTCAGAACCAGCTAAACCCATTTGTACTTAACTAACGCTGGGTTAATTCCCAAATAAATCAAGAGAAGATAGAATGTCGATATTTAAATTCTATTTAGCATGTGTCATTTGTATCAATTTCATATGTTGTTCTTGCTGAATTCAATTTCTGATTTGCTTCCAAATGATTTCTAGATTTCACGTTTTGCAAATTATACAATTGTAAAAAATATATATCAGGAATGTTTCCAAAAATCTTCTAAGTTCATTCTTTATGCTTTCAGTTCCATACACATACAGTAGCAGCAGGCCCCCTGGTGTACCTAACCAAAGAATGAGGGCTCCAGTTTACCGATCACGCCCCGTGGGAAATGTATCTAACATCTACCCACAATCGTTCATACCTCCACCCTCATCATCAGCCAATCCCCACCCCCACTACTCTAGTCATAATGTAAATTACAACACGCCATCACCCATGGGGCAGTACTCCCCGCATGCTCACCCTAATAGCCCCCTTAACTTTATATCGCCACCCCCCACACATAAGCAACCAGTCTGGTCAACAGGAACAACGTCACCAATTTCGCCATATTCAGATTTTAATGCTCCGCCTTATAATCAGGCATTCTTCACATCCTCTCAAGGATTTTACCCATCATCTGAGCATGGCAGCTTCAGTGGCTCTGATAGGGCATCTGTTGAACCACAACATCCTATTAAGGTTAGTGGGCTTTTTGTCTTTCATGTATGACATATTATTTGTTTTCGATTTTTACTTCTCTGATCTGAAATGCTTTTCTGTTTTAAGGTATCCTTTTTGGTGTTAGTCCATTTGTCACCCCTATACATACTATAGTGAACCTATGAATTGTTAAAAACACAATGTTTTATGGTTTTTAGCTCACATGGTGAGCTTTTGCAATCACTCACTTGTCCGTCTGTCTGTCCGTCTGTACGTCCGTCCGTCCGTCTGTACGTCCGTCCGTCCGTCTGTCCGTCAACAATAGTGGCACGTTTTAAAACCTCTGTCGATAGGATTCCTGTTTTAAGTTATTTCTGTTCAACATCAATACAGAAAACCCCCCTATGACTCCTGGTTCAAAAGCTCGCCTATTTTCAAAATGGCCGTCACTTTTGTCTCGAGAAATTCACTTTTAGCCCATTTCCTAGCTAACCTCTGTCGATAGGATTCCTGTTTTAAGTTATTTCTGTTCAACATCAATACAGAAAACCCCCCTATGACTCCTGGTTCAAATGCTCGCCTATTTTCAAAATGGCCGTCACTTTTGACTCGCGAAATTCACTTTTGGCCCATTTCCTAGCTTTACAAATAATTTCAGGTGTCCTACATTGTAAAAATCCATGTCAATGTAAAGATTAGATATATGAAATAATTTTGTTACAAAAAATCAGCGAAAAATTGTATCCATTTTTTTATTTTCAGCCATTTTAGTTAACATTGATTTGTCTATCTGACTCGCGAAATCCACTTTCTGTCAATAACAGTGGCACGTTTTAAAACCTCTGTCGATAGGATTCCTGTTTTAAGTTATTTCTGTTCAACATGAATTCAGAAAACTCCCCTATGACTCCTGGTTCAAAAGCTCGCCTATTTTCAAAATGGACGCCATTTTTGTCTCGCGAAATTCTCTTTTGACCCATTTCCTAGCTTTACAAATAATTTCAAGTGTCTTACATTGTAGAAATCCATTGCAAAGTAAAGAGTAGGTGTATGAAATAATTTTGTTACGAAAAATCAGCGAAAAATTATATCCATTTATTTATTTTCAGCCATTTTAGTTAACATTGATTTGTCCATCTGTCTCGCAAAATTCACTTTTGGACCATTTACCTTAAACCCTCTGTCGATAGGATTCCCATTTTAAGTTATTTTTGTTCAACATCAATACAAAAAATTCTCCTATGACTCTTGGTTCAAAAGCTCGGCTATTTTCAAAATGGCCGTCACTTTTGTCGCGAGAAATTCACTTTTGACCCATTTCCTAGCTTTACAAATAATTTCAGGTGTCCTACATTGTAAAAATCCATGTCAATGTAAAGGGTAGATATATGAAATAATTTTGTTACAAAAAATCAGCGAAAAATTGTATCCATTTTTTTTATTTTCAGCCATTTTAGTTAACATTGATTTGTCTATCTGACTCGCGAAATCCACTTTCTGTGGCACGTTTTAAACCCTCTGTCGATAGGATTCCCATTTTAAGTTAATTTTGTTCAACATCAATACAAAAAAAACTCTCCTATGACTCTTTGTTCAAAAGCTCGCCTATTTTCAAAATGGTTGCCATTCTTGTTTCGTGAAATTCACTTTTTGCCCATTTCCTAGCTTTACAAATAATTTCAGCTGTCCTGCATTGTAAAAAGCCATGTCACTGTAAAAGGTAGTTGTATGAAATAATTTTGTTACAAAAAATCGGCAAAATATTATATCCGTTTTTTTTATTTTCAGCCATTTTAGTTAACATTGATTTGTCCATCTGTCTCGCAAAATTCACTTTTGGACCATTTGCTTAAAACCTCTGTCGATAGGATTCCAGTTTCAAGTTATTTTTGTTCAACATCAATACAAAAAACTCCCCTATGACTCCTGGTTCAAAAGCTTGCCTGATTTCAAAATGGTCGCCATTTTTGTCTCGCGAAATTCAATTTTGACCCATTTCCTAGCTTTACAAATAATTTCAGGTGTCTTGCATTGCAAAAAGCCATGTCACTGTAAAGAGTAGTTGTATGAAATAATTTTGTTACAAATTATTGGCAAAAAATTATATCCGTTTTTTTTTCAGCCATTTTAATTGACTGAGAGACAGATGGCTTGAAATAATTTTGTAACAAAAAATCAGCAAAAAATTATATCCATTTTTTTCTTTTACCATGTGAGTCCAGTACCCACGGTACTAATTTTTTATGATAACAAGGGTTTTCCTAAGTGATTTAACTGGGTTGGACAAAAAGTTAGTTTGGGGAAAAAAGTATATCGGCAAATTAGGGAGGGGCGCATTGGCTTAACATGGCGTTGACTATTGACTTAGCGTCGGGATACCACCATGTACCTGGTATGTTACCATGGTGATAGATACAAAAATTATCCCCAACGTTAATTTTTGGGCAACCCAGCCAAATCACTCCAATAAACCCTAACGATAGTATTTGCACAGAAAAACTCATGTTTTTAAATATTCATACGTTAAGAAAATGACAAATGGACTATGTAGAATTATAGTGAATCTACAGATGGTCTGATTTCCTTGAAGATACAAAGTATTTGTATTTCAAAAGCACTGTACAAAGGCAACTGAACCAGTAAAAGTTTCTTCACTCTAGCAGATTTTGAAAATTGTTTCAATTAAAAACACTTATGAATGATGTCACAGAAACATATTATGCACATGGTCTCAAAATGATTTTATTTAACCATTACAGCTCAAATGTAATTTGAAATTACCTAAGGATTGGGCGAAGTTAGTTACTACAATTGATCAGTTCAGTAGGAAGGGTTTTATATTTAGTTGATAAGGGTTAAGTGAGTCATTATATACAGATTTGTAAGAAATGTGATGATGCAACTCTAGACATCATTCCTTTTTTACACTGGGGATCATTCACTTTTGCACTGGGGATCATTCCTTCTCACACTGGGGATGATTCCCTTATTCACTGGGGATCATCCTTTTACACTGAGGGTTATGCCTTCAGCAATTTTCATTCCCAGTCATATTCATCTGTATTTATTTTTAAAACCCTCTTACTTCAAAATCATACTTCAATCATTTACTGAATCAGAGGTTGCTGCATAAATTAAACACCCAAGTATGAATGTTATGTATAGAAGTATGAGAGTAAATTAAAAGGATAGGTATCGATATGGTGAACTGAATTCAACAATGTTTTTCTCTTAAACCAATTATTGAAAATATTTTTTTTAAAACACAGACTTTTATGTAATGATGAATGATTGGCAACAATTTAATGCAAAAATCATTTATATACGTATATTCTATATAACTGTTTTTGTTAACATTTTTTGTTTTTTAGTTCAGTTGTTTTTGTTCCTTTCTACCAATTCTTGAGAATGAAATGAAATGTCTTTCTGACCCTTGTTGGAACAAAATAGCCTATACAACATTTTCTCAGACCTCTCAATATTACAGTTATACAAAGGAAATTTGGGTTGATTTTCCGAAATGTATGCAAAAACTTAAAACAATACCCCCCCCAAAAAAAAAATAGATAAAAATTAAGATAAACATTTTATTTCATGAACAAGGTACTTTTTTAAAATCATCTAAACTTTCCTTTGTACAATTACAATACTGAGAGACCTAAACACATTGTGTTTATGTCATTTTGTTCCAATGAAGTTTGGATAGATGTTACCATCCAAAAGATGACCATTAAATTGACGATGTGTAAAATTTTCAGAATGTTTTTATGACTGGTTTAAGAGAGGCGCGTGTTCAAAAAGTTCACCATATCGATACCGCTCCTTTAAACAGCAGATCAGGTTATTTTACATATGTATACTTTTGGATTGTATATTTATACCATCATATGTTTTTTTTCAAGTATGCATTGAAAGGTGAACATCAAACTAAAAGCTTATTTATCACAAATTAATCAATTTCAATTTCAAATCTGTAAACTGAAAACTGAATGAAAATTGTAATTAAGTTGAGTTTGAATGTACAAAAGTTAAACATTATTTATCTAAGTTGATTGGCTCTAATACATATGTAAATGAATGTCTAAATAGTCGTGAGTAGGAGTATTTATTAAAGCTGTGTTTTGAATAAAGACCAAGATCAACGTTTTCTCTACCAATTACATCTATTCATAAATCATAAAGATATATTCATGTATACATATTTTTAGACTTCACATCTTCACATCCTCGGTCACTGCGTTCCTTCAACAATTGATATTATCCTCGCAATATTCCCCATATCAAATCCCTCCTGGTGAATAACCACTTTATAAATTGTAGTTTTATAACTTCTGTAGCTTGGCCAATGCCATGCCCATTTCATTTTAGAAATTATTAGAATGATCTGCTAGTATATATAATTCATAGAAATTATAATGCATCATTTAATGTCTATAATGCTTCATAATGTCTTTAATACACAATAATATATTATTGTATTCATTATAATGTGACAATAGGCTTTAATCCAAGTATATTTTAACAAAACAGATATCACTGATTTTATAAGCTTTATTTCTGAAAATACTTAAGATAATTTTTTGGCCAAAATTAACTGAACTTAAACAAATAGCAGCATTTATGCAGTGGATTGTGGGATCAGGGTCAGCTTTTATAGCCATGTCCTTGACATAAGGGTCATACCCTTGAATTTTTAGGGGAAGAGGTCATAGATATTCAAAGACCTTATTATTTTCTGTTGATTTACTTCATCGGGAGCTGGGCGTCTTTTTGTCATATTAACTGGTTAGTGAACCCTCTCGTATAAGGACACGGCATGGGGGAGGTTAGTCTAGTTACACGCCCTTGTGAGCATCCCCCAACTACACATCTCCCATGTTATGTTGGTGAAGTAGAAGAGAAGGTGGAGGTCAACAGTCTTGAAGCAAGAGGGGAGGTTGTTGGTACTTGTACTTGCTCAATAGCATTTGATACTTGTTACCCCTGGGGACAATAGATTTGTTGATATGGCCGCTGTTATTTTAGCCTTTCCATACTAT